GGTCCAGCTCAGAATATGCCACCCTCACACCGTATCCTCTCGAAGAGTCAGTATGACATAGCCTTGTCGTCAGAACGCGACGTGGCTATGCCTCACTGAAGAAAGGCGCCTCCCTAAGCATATAGTATCTTTAAGTGGGTTTATATTACGAGCTGGACCTCATACGCCTCTATTTCGGTACTAATAACATTTTCTCGCAGTATTTGTCCTTTACTAATCCGCTCTTCGGAGCTTTGGCCAGATTTTGATCAGTTTTTTTTTCGTGTGATACCTGGCTAGAATTTTGTCGCTGGAGGTAGCTTCACTCCCTGAACACTAGTTTCATCCCTGTTTGACTCTAAAACCTGTGCCGAGACACCTCAAAACACAGATTTGTCAAACGCTATCCCTCCCTCGAACACGAATATCACATTGGCTAGGCCTGAAAAGCCTGATATATTTGCTACGGGCATCGGCACCTCTTCTAGCTAAGGGGGGGGGGGTATGAAGTGTACTTTTCAGAAGTTCGGCGTAGAAAATAGAATTTGGGTATTGAGAATTCTGTGCTTTCCAAAAGGGTACATGGCGAAGCCATGACGAATAAGGGTTTTTTGTGGTAAGTGATCATTTTCACTTGTTTACCCTGAAAATTGTCTTGCCCGTTTCCTGATTAACCGTTGCGCATGTAGCACTCCACGTACGCTCTTAATGGCACCGAACAATGACCTTTATCCCACAAAACTTTTGAAAAATAGGGCGGTAGTGGTAAATGGTGCCACGGCTAAGGGTATATAGTGCCTATTTTCCTAGGAAGTGTGAAAACTGAATACTCGAGAACTTACCTATTTTGGCCATATTTCTCTCAAGCGGAATGAGGTAGATTTTTTTTTGTAGGAAAGCATGCAGTGCAGGCGATTGAATCAGCGCACATCCTGGTTCTCGAGTTTTTATTGAAAGGGGGTCCTATTGGAGCTGGCGAGTATTTTTGCCGTCCACCGTGCTTTTTTCTGATATTTATCCGGAGGTGTCTGCCATTACTCTGCCTGGCTGATATAGGGGATCGTATGTGTGGAGAAGATAAGGTCGTTCGAGGAAAAAGTTCTCGGTATCCGGGTGATGGGTCCTGTTCTGGAGGTTGAAATGGACTTGGAGCGGCGTACCCAGTGATAATGAGAGCTTTTTGAGAATGCAATCGCTTGCTTTTTTAAATCGTACTCTTTTGAATAATAGCTTTTGAAAGGCAGCCGTTAAACTATTAATAGCCTTTGATATAGCTACGCCTTATTCTGAAGGTGTGGCTGTTCATAAAAGGGAACATTTTTTTCTGAATTGATGGCTTCATTTAGAAACCGATTAGCCTTGTTTGTTTGGCTACCCATGGGTGGCGATTGCTATCGACGGTTGTCGATCGTGCGAAGATATAGCCAGGTTGGCGGTAGATCGGCTAAGCGGTAGGGGCATTTGAAGGATTGAAGACGAACACCGCGATTACATATTGTGGATGGTGGCGTTTAGGTAGAAATCTGTAGTTGCTACATTCCGTTGAAAAAAAGCACAAGAAAATTTTAGAGGAAACCCCCAAGTAAGGGTCCCTATTTTCACCACTGTTCGAGTTCACTGGACCTCCTTGTTTTTTGCTGGCAAAGGAATATCCTGCCGCCTGTGGGTCACTGGGATCGTTTCTAAGCGCCATCCAGTGCTAATACCGCCTAGCAAGAAAGAAAGGGAAAAGGGTACAGAACTGAACCTGTAACGAGAAATAGCCTTTGACCCTTGAAGGGCGGCGCAACTAGGGAGGCGTCAGATCTGCCACGTATGACGGCCACAGCGCCTTCGTTACTTATTGTGAAGAGCGATTGAGAGAGACTCTCTCAGAGACTGCGGGCCAGACAAGGACGTCTAGGAATCGAGTGAGGGCCGGACTGTCTTCATAATCCTAGTAGGACAGGGGTTACTTTGCGTAGCTAAAGAGCAGTTTATTTCAAAAGCATTCCTGTCCGTCATAGCTCAAGTGTTTGCGAATTTTAGTGATACGCTTTTTCATGCGTATTTGTTTAAGCCGATTAGGCATGATTCATTCCATATCGAATTTCGGGGAAACGTCCCGAATGACTGTATCGAAACATTGAGTTTGCAGCCTGGGCAGGGACCAAGTGGAAGTTTCATAGGGAAGGATGAGGGTTTTAGCGGAGTTCAGAGATTCAAAAGAACACACTTATTTTTTGCGTCGATGTTCTGGTAATTGATAAACTTTTCCGTGGGACTAGTGTGTTCAACTGAATACGTTTTTCATGGTGAATGTTTGAAATTTTACTTTGTTAGCTTCTTTAGGCGATATAGCATCACCGCACCTCTAATGAGAAGGCGTTCCAGCCTACGGCAGCGTTTTTGGTGACTAGGAATGTGCAGGTTTTGATCCAGTTGTTGAACATCTCGCGGCTACCCGCTGAAAACGCTGGCGTTCGCTCAGAACGCTGGATAGATATCTATACCTTCGTAGTCGCTGGCTCGTGCGCGTTCAAAACGCTAAAATGCCATTTGAAAAATCTATGAATTGGTCTGGAAAATGCGATTCAGGAGAGCGACAAGGAATAAATGGATTGTGACTGACTCCTTCTATCGGCGTTTTCGGAGAATGCGCGCTTCAGAATGCGGTGGTGGGCGGGGTCAGTCAATCGCCATCTAATCCTTTGTCGCCGATTCTTTCGAATTGTGCACTCCCCCATATTAGATTAGATTCTCCAGATCAATGCAGATGCTTTTCTCTAGAATCTGCAATTTTTCTAAGCTGTCGGCTCTCAAACGAGACCTAAAGGCTGTTTAGGTAGAGAGAGTGGCCCAGCCGTTGGCGTAAAAGGGTTTCAAAACGGTAGTTTCTGTGCCATCTGTGTTGGTTGCTACCTCTGATGCAATCCTATAGAGCATACTTTTCTGAATTTATTCTTACCACGCCTTCCGCTACCAGAAAATGGAGGGTTATTGCGACAGTCGATTGCTGTTTCTATCGACCTGCAGTCTTGTTCGTTGCGGACGCTTGGGCGTTTGCGGCTTGGAAGCTGGCAGGCTGCCACAGTTAGTGGAGTCCAGGCTGACGCCGCTCGAAACTATGCCCCTCCCTGAAACGCTGTAGCGTCCAAATAGTATCACAAAATTATAAACGCTGATCATTGCTGTGGAGATTGAAGGTTGTATTTAGGTACGTGTACCGCACGTCAATGGGGCACCTGCTGGCGCCGCGCCAAGTCCTGGACAGGATGATGACGATCTCGCAAATGAAACGCTATTTTTCGGGCGTAACCGTATCAAGCAACTACAAGATGAGCGTGTGCATATCCAAAAGAAAACATTCACGAAGTGGTGCAACTCCTTTCTGAATCGGGTGAGTTGTTTTTCAGTGTAATATTACTTTGCTGGGGTACATTTTTCATGAATCTTCTGGACTAGGCTAGATTTCTCTGATTCCTTCATCGCCTTTAGACTTCTTAGACCTTCACGGGACCGATTTCGAACTATTTTAAAATTTTGTTGTGTTTACAATGATAATTGCATCATGACCACGTGTAATTGGGTATTGGCAGGCCAGTTGTCAGTTTGATAATAAGGGCATGATACTTTCAGCAAGTGTGAGATAAACTTTTTGGGAATGGTAAAAAAGATCTTCTGTGAAAACAATATAAAAACTATGATTCTTCACATCTTAGAAGTAAAGTCTCATTGAAAGGGAAGGGGGGGGGGGGGTGGCATTGTTAAACTTTCGTTTCTTCATCTAGGTTCCTGGAACTCTGATTTTATAACCACTTTCAAGACCCCTCCGAGACGACGATTCAGTCAAAACGTTAGGCCGAGCCAATGAAAGTTCTACTACCAACCTCGTAAGGTACCCCGTAATTAACACAGGTTACAACTTCCTATGGGAGAGTTCTCGCTCATGAGTGGGAAGAGGATGAGAAGTAGACACTGGTACCGATGTCGAATGCGTCGAATGTGATGTTGAATGCTATCAATAGGAATACGCACTCTGCAACATTAAACGCGTCAAGCTTACTAGCTATTATGTCGAGAGGAAACGTGCGAGATTATCGGGCTTTTCAGAGAGAGAGAGAGAGAGAGAGAGAGAGAGAGAGAGGAGAAAGAGAGAAAGAGTCAGGTTGTTATCAAGAGTATTGGGGGTTGTTATTTCTTCGGTTCTGTGCAAACTAGCTAAGGGAGGTTATTTAAAATACTCCATCGTGCGAAAACTAGGGTTATGGTAATGGCAAAGCCCTCTTGCCCACAAGAGAATCTTGACTCGTTATCGCTCATTTCTCTCTATTTCTCGCGCATCCTACTTTCCATTACCGGTAAAAAAAATTGGGTAGTTTTTTTCTCGATGCAATTCTTCAAGCGCCCGTCCCTTTGACCGGAATTCCTTGAATGTTATCTTCTATCGATTTCTCCATGAGTGGCCTCCGATGTCTTCGTCTATGGATCGATTGTTTGTTAGATCATTGGGATTATTTGTGCGGATGTTTATTAGTTCGCCGAAGCGTGGATAAGGCGTCAAGACGGCCTTTTGCCTGCGTAGATGACGCGAGCGATATGCCCAGATAGAGTGGGACATTTTTGGCCATCTACGCATGCCTTCGTATGGCCTTATTATTTGTCGCCAGATGCATTGGATAGCAATAGCAATGTGTTCGTGAGTGGGGGTGTCACGAAGCTCGTTTTTGCGGAGGATGGGCCATAGAGGAGGTTTGGGTAGAATACTATCTCGGTCATCCTAAAGTTTGACCAAGGATTCCTAAGGGTTTACCAAGGATGCAAAACGAGCTCATTCGTGGTGTTCAAGGTATGTGGGCAGGAGAGTTAAAGCTTTCTGTCTCCTTGGCAAGTGGAAAACTTGTTATGACCCGTGCTTAGCGGCTGAGAACTGTTTCAATGGGGTGAGATGAACATGACGGGAGGCATTGGGATAGTACAGTTGGTGTTAGTATTAGGCCCCATTGGCCGTAACTGCCACCCCCATTGTGTCTCCGCATTGCATCTTCACCCAGGATAACTCGTCCACACTACTCAGATTCCCACTAATTGGGCTGCAGAATTACTGGAAGGCAAAGCATCCTAGGGCTAGTGGCAGTCACAGTATCCGATGAACGCCTGAGCAAGACTGTTGAAGACGTTCGTACATGTTTATGGAGGTATTTCCATCTGTTTTCGATCTTGTTAGGGACTGTCAAGGCCGGGTTATGCTCATTCAAATGATCTATAAGCATGTTTGGCGCAATTCGGCTTGGTGGGGGCATTTCGCAGGTTCTCACCGAGCAATATCGAAGCTTTTTGTAGAGGGCTGTGGATTCCTGTAAAACCATGCTGTAGCATCAGTTTCGCCTACATCTGATGAGAATGCCTTAAACCTGATGAGAAATGCCGGTCTCTTTAAGGAGAAATGTCTAGTTCAACAGGAACTAGCAGCAAAAACCGGCGAAGATGCAACATGCTCCCCTTTCCCTCCTCCTGAGCCAAACAGAGCCGCATATTCCAGCCCAGCTTGATCCCTGCCTCATCCTTGCCTGAATGCTAGGATATTGGGAGAGTCGGTAAATTAGCTACAATGCACAGAATGTTTTTATCAGGATGGAGCTATGCAGCAGCATTCTTCATGGCCCTATAAATCCATTGGTCACGTTAACTAATTATAAATTTCGAAGGAGATCACTGGGACAGTTCCTGTGGCGTCACCGACAAAAAATCTTTACCTTTTCGAAAAGACAGAAAGAAGGTAACACTAGCAGCGCCGCATTACAGTCGCATGGTCCGTACGATAAAATCTCGCATGGACCAATTATTACCACATAGGTGCCCTCTTGCAAGGTCGTTTCAAGAACTCCCTATCGTCCAAGTGCACGCGTGCTAAAAGTCGAGCGCGTGCTTTGCGCTGGGTAACCAACGGAGCACGCTCTCCAATGCTTCTACGCTTGTTCCGGTCACGCTTGCGGAAACTCTGCTGAAAGCCCACAAGAGAACAAGTTGAAGGATCAGCTTCTGTTTCCTTTCCGCTGGAGAGATTGAACTCGAGCTTTTGTTTTGTGCTTCTTTTTTCTCCCCATGAATATTGTCTTCAAGAATGAACCCGTACCTGGCCGATGACATTAATGGTACCTTTACTTGACTGGACATTAACCAGCCACCTTTGGCCATTTTCCCCAACGATTGACCCAAGCCATCCTTAGATCTGGCAGACTATGGTTTTACGTTGGAGGGTACTCTAAGGCAGCTGAAAAAGGACGGGCTAAGTTCCTATCGGAGTAGCCATCCGTGGAAAGTTGTTATCCTTGGCACAAAAATGAGCTTCACAGGACGGTCACCCACCACTTGTGCTCTTGTTAGTCGTCAAGTTGCTCCAGCGGATGCTAGTCGCCCACGGGTTTCCCTGTGCTCGAAATACAGGATTTTTGAACAATTTATTTAGGGACCTCACAACGAAGTCCTCTAAGCTTAGACAAGAAAAGTGTAGTAAGAAATCTAACAATCAAAATACTGTGTAAAATTTTACTCAAATTTTACTAAAATCTCATTATTATTGATAGGATGGTACGGACGTAGTATCGGGAGATGATAGCTGAGCGGTGAGTTAGTTGACTTTCCCAAAAGACTTTAGTATGTAGAAAGAATCTTAATCCATTTGACGGCATACAAAAAGAACTGCCTCTGTTTTTATAACGGTCTGATAAGGCCATATGCTGGTGCCGTTGAGCTAGATAAAGTATGGACAACACTTGGTGTAAATCAGTAACTTAGTGAATAACTATTATCGCAACTGAGGCTAGAAAATCAGTAGAGGGAAGTGTAAAAATGCCGTTTGATTTCCTTTTTGGTGCTTATTAAAATGAGTTCCCCTAGTGCTCACTTTCATGGCGCGAAGTGGGACGGGAGCGTTCTGTCGCTCCTATTTGTCCTTTCCCTTCACCACACCAAGGCTTAGGCTTCATAGAAACTGTCTCTCTGCGAGACTATTTTCCGGCGACCGCTCATCTACTCTGTGAGCCTGAAACCCTAGTTGAGGGGTAAGGAACACAGGCTCGGCGTGTGTGCACCTCGCAGCTACGTTAGTGCCACTTCCATCGCGAATTATAGGTAACAGGGTAGAATACGATGGACAAAGGTCCCACGATTGAAAAAGGAGATACTTAGGGTCAGGGGACAGCATCGTTGTGAGAAACACATAGGAGAGGTCGTGTTTTTTTTCCGCACTGAGCAAGAGCTGAGGAGAGGCGTCCGTGTTTGGCCTTTGCGGTTGGGAAGGGCAGTCGTATTGAGAGAAATTTGCCGTGTTGTGAGAACACTTTTCCCGGTTGTTGACTTTGCATGATTTTCTCTATTTTAGATGTATTATATATCCCCCCCTCCCCCCCCCGACCCGCTCGAACGCGAAATTTTTGGTGGGTTATGATAGGTGGGCGTTGGGGGGGGGCGTAACTAGACCATCACTGCAGGTGGGGAAGGGGGTGTACTAACACCCTCACTCGAAGGGGGGGTCATGCCTACACCACCATTTCCAACATCACGATGCTGTATCCTGCTTACGGTAATAGGCCTGCAAGGAAACGCTTCTCTTTTACAAGCCTCAAGTAGTGACTCAGTTAATTGATGCTGTTTTGGTTGTCCTTATAGGTAAATTACATCCGATTGGAAGCGCAGACTGCAAGGAAACGGCTCTGTTGACTCAATTTTTTGTTAGTGCCCATCCATAGCACGATGTAAGCACTTGAGACGATTGCTATCGCACGTCCTCTCCATAGTGTGGTCAGTTCTAACGGGAACAATACAGGGAAAGAAGTGTTGTCAGGGGTGTGGGGCTGGAAAAGGGTAGTCGTACCAGAGGAACAACTTTCGAGGGGGATCGTATTTTGCTGAAATTTCCTTCGATGGCGTGCTCTGTTACCCGCGCAGACAGGAAAAAACAGTCAAGAAAACGTGCATTGAAATCAATGCACACCGTGTTCGATGTGTTAATTATGGAAAAAAGTTAGCTAGGTAAATCTATATCATGCCAGAAAACATGAAACTATTGAGTTGATTTCAGGCCAGATTGGAAGTTGTTGATCTCTTTGTGGATTTTGGCGATGGTGTATTGCTGATGAAACTTCTCGAGATTATATCCGGAGAGAAACTGGGAAAACCCAATAGGTATCCGATTTCTCCTTGACATTTTCAATTTCATTTTAACATCCCGTAAGTAAAGAAAAATGTTGTTTCGTTCAGAGGCCGTATGCGGGTGCAAAAAATCGAAAATCTCAACAAGGTCCTAGATTTCCTCAAGAAGAAGAAAGATTCAGGTATGTTGTTTGTCTAAGAAAAGTGCCTTCGCTTTCCCATCTTCGACATTATGTCCACTAAAGCGCACCTGGAGGATATTTGGTGATGTCGTGGGTGTCAATCATATTCACGTCTGCGCGCTATTATGTTTGTACAGAAGGCTGGCACGAGCTTGGTGAAGGAAAGCAGTGTG